ACCAGACAGACAATATAAAGCATGTGAAAAAGCGATTCATGCTTTGGAAAAAAGAATTGTTAGCTGAGTAAGAGGAATCAGGAGGACCAGGTATGGAGGGAGAGGATGTGGCTTAAATAGGACGCCCTCACCGAATGGATGACATATGTGAACTAGAAAAGGATTCTTATATAAACCAAAAACTCCAGAAGGGCAGAGGCCATGCCTGCTGTTTTCAGTACATGGTAAGAATGCAGAATCTGGTGAATCACAAATGAAAGTTAAATGAAGAAACCTGAATGTTTGTTAAAATGCTCTGGTTTGGAATGAGAAATTATTACCTAAGTTTGAAAAGAAATTGTGACTCCAAGGAGTCACAATTAAAATTTTAATTTTTAATTTTAAATTAAATTAAAAATTTTTAGTAAGGCCATGGTTATTATTTTTGGCTGTGTGTGACAGAAATGCTCAATTATTGAAGTGATGGGAAGGAGCTTTTGTTTTTATTTAATATTTCATACAGAGCATTTCCTATACCATTCAAAAGCTTTAAACAGGGAGCTGAAGGTATGGGTCAAGTGGTAGAGCGCTTGCCTTGCTAGTGAGAAGCCCTGAGTTCAAACCCTAGTACTACCAAAAAAAGGAAAAGTCTTCAATAGGACTTTTTCGTTGTTGTGGGACTAGGGTTTGAATTCAGGGCTTCCTGCTTGCAGGCGCTCTACCTCTTGAGCCACACCTCCAGTCCATTTTGCTGTGGTTATTTTGGAGAAGGGGGCCTTGTGAACTACTTGCCTAGGCTGGCCTTGAACTGTAATCCTCCTGATCTCAGCCTCCCAAGTAGCTAGGATTACAGGCATGAGCCACTGGTGCCTGGCTTCCAATAGGATTTTAATAGTACAGCACCTTTCACCAGCCTTTCCCACACCTTCCTGCCTCTTGCCTCTTATCCCTGGCAGCTTTGAGTATTTGTTATTTATTATTTATTTTTAAAGAAATCTTTGCTGTCTTTCTGTTTCAGATTAAATCAAGAAATATAATTGAAGAACAGTTACTGTTTATCTCTGAGGCACTGTGTGGTCTTATGGAGTGGGGATTTAGTTTGGAGTATGAGAAAAAGTAGGGAGAGAAGGAGAAATTTCCAAGTCTGGAACTGGCTTCAGCCCCTATTTTCTGTGGATTTGCTCTATTTCCTTTCTTTGCTTTAGTATTTTCTTTGGCTCCATAAATAAAAGGAATGAACAAAACAGGTGGCAGATCATTAACTCTACAAAGTCACTCTAAAACTAAGAGTGAACAGCTATCCATGATAGGCACATGCAGCTTTTGCACAGGTGACCAGACAAAAGTTATGGCTTGTTCACGTGTGGGACCCTCACATGAGGGGTTCTGATGACCAGTATTGATCCCCAAAATGCACAATGCATCTGTCTATGGCCAGGGCTAGTAGGGCTAGGTGTGGAGAATCAGTGTGCCAGCACACTGTAGAGACAGGGTCAGGAGCTGTGCTCCTTTCCAAAAAAAAAAAAAAAAGCTCCAGGCTGAGGCAAGAGGACTGAGAGTTTGAGGCCAGCCTGCACTACACAGTGAGACCCTGTCTCAAAAAATAATACATGATAAAAAAGAAGAAAAGTACATTTTTTTCATGTTAAAAAAAAACCCTGATACTTTTTCCGTATTACAATTTTTTGGGGGGATATTAAGTGCAGCATGTGCCAGGTGAGAACGCTTCTCTTATATAATACTTCAGGATCTTTATTTGCGTCAAGCTTGCCCTGGAACACTTCTATGTCAATCAATTAAAAATGAAGCAAGATGGCTGTGTCACTGACTCACGCCTATAATCCTGGCTATTCAGGAGGCAGAGTCAGGAGACAGAGATCAGGAGGATTGAGGTTCAAAGCCAGATCAGGCAAATAATTCAAAGTTTGAGAGAGCCTATCTCAAAAAAAACCCATCACAAAAAACGGGGTGACAGAGTGACTTAAGAGTAAGAGCACTTACCCAGAAGTGTGAGCCCTGAGTTCAAACCACAGTGCTGCCAAAAAAAGAAGCAAAATAGATAATCCTTGAAGACACTATATTAAAGTGAAATAAGCCAGTCACAAAAGGACAAGTTCTGTGATTCCACTTTGGTACCTAGAGTAGTCAAAACCAGGGACAGATAGCAGCTTGGTGATTGCAGGGACTGGAGGTACAAGGTTGGGGGTTTGTTTATTGTTTAATGGGTACAGTTTCCATGGAGGAGGCTAAGAAACTTTTGCAGTTGATGGTGGTAATGGTTGCACAATAATGTGAATGAACTTAATATCATTGAATTATTCTTAAAAATGGTTAAAGCAGTAAATTTTATGTGTTTTATCACAATAAAACAATGAAGTAAAGCAGGGTAAGGAAAACTGAGGTAGTAACATGGGTAGAATGGGTGCCTTTCCCTGTCTGTTGAGGTCAGAATAAAGAATGTAAGAGAATGTAAAGAATCTGACTTCTTGTTTCTCTTTGCTAAGTAAACTATGACTACTCCTCTCTCCCTTCTTCATTTTCTCCAGGACATTTGGTAAAAGGATCCTTAGTTCAAACTACAAAAAGAGAAGCAGATAATCTTGACTCATTCCAAATCAATTTCATTTCGGTACTTGTGAAAACTGAAGTTTGGCCTTTTTATGAAATATGCATTTCATGCAGAAGATTCTGTGTTCTAACTATGAAGAGAAAAGGGGCTCCTCAGAAATGCTTGTGCTCCCTGGGCTGTCTTCATTCATCTATACTTCCATTCTTACCATAGGTAAGAATGACAGAATACTACTTTGAGACTAAACTATATCACCCTCAGTATTTTCTCTTATTTAAAAGCAGTTAGCAGAGCACATTCTTTGTTGGATGGAGGAAATAACAGGCAGAATACTGTACAACCGTCCTTAGGAGAGCTTGTGAGCTGGGATTTACTGGTCTAACCAGGCAGCCACTTCTTGGTGATGATAAGTGGTCTCCGAGCACAGATATGAGGTGGTCACATGAACTCTGCCACAAATGGGCATGCGCAGTTTACCCAGTTCCCACCTGTCTTATCCCCATGTGGCCCTTGGAGGCATGAATTTGTGGTACTTGTGGAAGGGGTTTGTGGACACATCTTAAAGAAGAAACAAGGGAAGAGATGGATTTATCTCTACAATAAAAAAAGATAATTTACCTGGGCTGGGAGGAAGGCACAGAGGCTAGCAGGTTCCAAGGCAGGGGAGCATGTGACCAGCTTCCTTGAAAGAACATCTTGCAAGCTGCAGAACCCCAGGAAGGAATGGCACATGGCATGTCTTAGCAGATGGGACAATAGCCACTTCCATCACCAAACATTCCTCTGTCCTGGGGGGGATGTAGAAGTAGTAGAGAACTAAGGGACTGAAGCAGTTATATACAACTGGGCAGTGGGGATAACACAGCCATATTTTCTGAGGACAAAGGCCAGATGATGTGTGTCCCTTCTCCCCACCACTCCCTGATCCATGGGGTATGGAACGCCAAGAAGGTTGAGGGCTAACTTAATTAGTTGTTGGGGGCCTAAGACTAAATTATAATATAACAGGTATGTGACAATCCTTATATATCTAGTTTTAGGACTGAGACTCAAACTGTTCTAAATGAAGGTGCTGAGGAAAGCAGCGACCTTGTTCATTGCAGCTTTTTCTAGAAACTTTGCCCTCTAACTCCCAGACCCAAAGCATTATTTGTGCTCTCAGCCCCTTCCCACCCGCATATCACAGTGAGCAAACAAGAGACCAGGTCCAAAAACAGCAGATTGCAAGCCTTCTCAAGCTGGGCAGCTAACAGGGGTTGGGGTTAATGCTCTACCATGGGCACCGAGCCTATAACTGGCATTCATTGTACTCAAAGATTTAGGAAAATATTTTCACAGTAAAAGAAACTGGATTACATTGCAAAGTAGAAAGCAACATTCCTATTAAGAAATGATGATATTCCCGAATTCAAAGGACCTCCTGTTGCAGGGAAGGGGTCTCCATTGGGGCTCTTTTGAGAAGAGGACTTGAGCAGCCCTGGCCCAGCTCCCCGCTTGGCTCAGGGCCACCTTACTCTGGCTGGGGCTGCGGCTTCCTCTGGGCATCGTGTTCCTGTCGTTCCTGTCAATATCTCCTCACGTTTCTAAACGCACACCTTGTCAGCGCGGGTGCAACCCGAGAGCCATCGCTCCCAGGTTCCAGCTCGCCCCTTTCACAAAGGAGGAAATGGAGAATCAGCAACTTCAAAGGACTTGGCGGGGACGGGCCACCTCCATTCTTTTATCATGCAAGAACTCGGAGCCCAATCCAAGTCCAAATAATTTTTTTGACAGGGTCTCGTTCTGTAGCCCAGGCCGACCTCGAACTTGTGATCCTCATGTCTCTGGGATTACATACACTCACCACCATGCCCAGCACAAAAATCCTATCCATTCACCTGTCCCTGGTCATTCTCCGCCCTTCACGTCTACCTGTGGGTGTCCTGCCTCTCCACGAGAGTATCAAGTGCTGCAAGGGTGCTTAGAAAAGTTTGGTGAATTAATGATTGCTGGTTCTGGAAAACACACCCTCCCATCCAGTCCAGGGGCTGGTGGAGAGGTTGGTGGGCAGGGTGAGGTGAGGAGCAACCGATTTACTCGTTATCGCCCAGGTTGGGGTCAGGTTTGGAGGTCTGGGACCGGCCTGATGGATGGCTCAGGGGTGCAGATGCAGTTTGGCAAGAATCCTTTTCCCTCTGCCCACGACCCCCACCAGCGCGCTCAGCCACGCGGGCGGGCTGGTGCAATCCTCAGAGCGCCTTGCATTGATCGAAAAGGGGAGTTGAAATCCTAAACAAGGAGGAGCCACGCCTCCCAGACGTGATTCGGGGTCGCGACCAATGGGAAGGCGAGCTCCGTCCTGAGAGCCAATCACTGCAGGGCCTGCTCTGTAGACCAATGGGGCGCCAGCTCCATGCTGGAAAAAGGCTGGGGCTGGGGCCCTCCGGAGACTGGCGCCACGGTCAGCTAGAGACGTGGGGGTGAACACGGTCCCTCCCCTCAAGCCGAGTAGCCTCTGGCGCCGCCGCAGCATGGACGCCCTTAAGCAAGTGGTCAACTTCGGGGCTGGGCCGGCCAAGCTGCCGCGCTCGGTAAGTGTTTGCAGGCGCGCGCCGGGAGCGCGGTCCGAGCGGGAGCACGTGCGCGCGTGGATTTGCACCCCGGCTTCCCGCAGCCTGCCCGGGAGCCGCCTCGCACCAGCGGACACGGCAGGTTCTGGAGCTTTTGCAAGCAGGTTCCTGGAAGGATCCCGCCCGGGGAGGAAGGAAGCGCGGCCGGCATGCCCGTGCAGCTGTCTCCGGGTAGCGGACCTGCACGCCCCCGGCCGGTGTGCTGCAGTGTGGACGTGCATGAGTGGGCAGACACGCCGTGTGGGTACATGACAGTGGGGATAAACGCATGCTAGGTGTTGCGAGCCCCCGAGTAAAGTGAAGGGGAGACCAGCCATGCTTCGGGTTCGGCCCACGCTTGCCAGAGATCGCATCTACATTTGGAAGCTCATTTTCCCGCCTTGGCCTCCCTGTACTGCGCAGAACCCACCCATCCCTAAAGTGTCTCTCTCTTTCTCTTTTCCTTTCTCTCTCTCATTTAACCTGCTTGTCCGCTAAGGCATTCGAATAATCAAACTGAAAAGCATTGGTCAGTTTAGTCAAGTTCTGTTCACTTTGTTCTGGACCAAGTAGAAAGATTAGGTTCTCCCCCTGGGCTACAGTCACACCATGCAATGCAAGTGGAACTCACCCTGCGCTCCCAGCCGCCCGCCAGGCTCGGGTTCCCTCATCGCCATCTCTGCCCCCCACCCCCTCCTCTCAATCCTAGCCGTAAGGACCGCGAAGCCGCTGTTGGCCTTGAACTCATTGACCAGCTGCTGCTCTATCTGATACTTTGTGGCAGCGTGGGACAACAGCCAAGTGTTTTACAATTATCTATTGAACTGACTAGGTCTGCGGGGACACAGCCCCCTGTGTGTGATGAGAACAGAGGATCCCACAATCCGACAGGAAAGGGACATCGGTGCTTTTCTAGGGGCAGCGCACAGTAGCTGAGAACAGGCTTATTTTTCTGTTACTACGGTTCATTTTTGGCGAGGTTTCTCTGCGACAACAGTGTAAACTGTTCCTGTAGGCGCCCCTCCCCCACCCTGTTTTGCAGTCTTCCAAGTGTTTGTTCCAGTGTCATTTGTTATGAAATTGATTATAATGGCAGTTACACCAATACTGCAATTTTAATTTTTCTGGGAGGAAAAATAGCCTAGAGAGGAGAGTGTTACTTTTTAGGTATCTTCTTGATTTAGTTGAATTGTAAAGATTAGAGAGGCTTTCCAACTTTTTTTTGACTGTCACCTACAATGAAAAACATAGTTTGCAAAATGATGGAGTACATGCAGATAGTTATAAAAAAAAATAAAAGCCTTAGGAAATGCTGTTTACCCTAGTTCCCTGTGACATAAACTACTTTGTATTCTAGTCAGTTCTGTTAAATAGTTGTGATCCACAAAGGCAATTATGTTTTGTAGTTTTGGGGAAAAAAAACCTCACTGGATTACATGGAGCTGTGTTTTTTTTAGATAGATGTCTTTAAAAAAAAAACTCTAGGGGATTTTGGTTACAAACTTTTATAGTTGTATTTTTCAGGAATGCTGTATGTAAGAAAAATAGTCCTAAAATCAGTTCAAAGATTGGGGATTGAACTGTAGGACTGGGGCTTAGCTCAGTGGTAGAGTTAGTATTTGCAAAATGAGGCCTTGGGTTTAATCCCAAATTGGCATACAAAAAATAAATTCTGTCACAGGTGAATGTTTCTTTTTACTTCAAAAACAGATTCAGTAAAGTTTACTTTTATTTTTAAGTTTTGATTGATGTGATAATTACATGTATTTATGGGATACACAGTAAGATTGCAACACATGCATGCAACCTGTATGGGTAAATCAGGGTAATTTGGTCAGCTAGTGCTAGTAAGCATCCAAGTTAAAAAACAATGACACATTCTTGAGCCCAATTGTCAGGTCAGTCTTTTTTTGTCAAATTCTTATTGTTAAAATACTGGGTTTTTTTTTTAGACAAGTTGCTGTTCAGTTTGTCCTCAGCCTCCAGAGTAGCTAAGATTGCAGGTATGCTTCAGTAGCTGGTATCTTTTAAAGAAGCCATCTCTTTTAGATCCTTCTACAGAGGGTCTTTGGCATTTTGTGCTCATCTTAGAGCTTTTCTTTATATTTTATTGTGGAAATCCTCAATTCACAAAGGTACAAAGAGAATAATATAACGAGCCTACAGGAACTCATCTCTGAGACTCAATAACTAACAACATATTGCTAATCTTGTTTAAGCATCTTAAGATCAATCTTTTTTTTTTTTTTTAATGGTGTTGGCGATCAAACTCAGGGTCTCCTACATGCTAGGCAAGCACTCTACCATTGAGCTACATACCAGCCCGAGGCCTTGGGAGTGACAGGGTCTCTCTATGTAGCCCAGGCTGGCTTCAAACTGAACCGTCCTCCTGCCTCCGCCTCCTGAGTTACTGGCATTACAGACTACCACATCGAATTTGGGATGAATCTTAATTCATAGCAGGTTCTTTCTTCTTTTAACCCTCCCCCCACCTGTTTCAATCTAGCACTTTGGACCAAAACATAAATAATTAGGGCCTAATTGATTTTTGTTGTTCATTGAACTGAGAATTTTATGCATCCTGTACCTTAAGAGAATGAATAGTGAATGAGATTTGTAGAGGGGACATTTTCTAGAGAATCATTAGTGTCATGCCTTTGGGAAGAGTATATCTTAGCATCAATCAGCATCAGTCATGTTGCATAACTGAGGCTCAACTTGTGTGCAAGTTGCATCATCAGATCCTGGGAGGGGGAGGAAGGCCTCTGATGGGTGGGGACAGAAGCTGGAGAACCTCACAGGCCTGGGCCTGCTCTCCTCTCAGCCCCTCCAGCCTTGTTTGTGCAGGGGGAAAGCCGTGCACAGCATATTGAAATCGTCTTCTTTTTTTCTAGGTGTTGTTAGAGATGCAGAAAGAATTATTAGACTACAAAGGACTCGGCATTAGTGTTCTTGGTAAGATTTGCTTTTGGATTCTGTGAATGTCAGGTTTCAAAGTGAGCTAATTTAAATGTGTCAAGCCTAGCATTTCTACAGGGTTTTCCCTTGGGACTTTGTAGATAACATTTTTAAACTCTAATGACTTGGGTTGCATGTTTGCTAGGAACAATTTTTGTGTTGTTTTTTGAGGCAGTCTCACTATATAGCCAAGGCTGCCCTTAAACTCATGATCCTTTTACCTCAGCCACTGGAGTGCCGGGATTGCAGTATGTGCCACCATGCCTGGCTTTAGAAACAGTTTGGAACACAGCATGAATGTTGGTGAAAGGCTTTGATATCTCAGCTTCTTGTTTCATAACTGGCTTTTGCCAGTTAGGGGACCTGGATCAGAAGGTCTGTACATTTGCCTAACAGTGCTACCACTTACATTACTTTGTATCCAACTTACGGTTTTTATTATATTTAAATAGACACTTAATAAACTTTAAAAGTACACAAGCCTGGGCTGGAGGGATGGCTCAAGTGGTAGAGCTTCTGCCTAGCAAGTGTGAAGCCCTGAGTTCAAACCTCAGTACTGCGGGGAAAAAAAAAGTACACAGCTTTCTATGATGACCTTGCCTATTAATAATTTCATGTTAAGTTTCTCTCCACTGTATTGTTGAGGAATATAACCTACCCCAAGTTTAGCTCCTTTTATTTAGTTTTTAGGTTTTCTTTCTTGAAGGGAGGTATGATATAAAGGAACTGAAGGGTTAATTGTGTTAATTTTTGTTCCTGTGGGCTTGAGCTATACTTATATTTCTTTTTTTATGGAGACAGAATCTTGCTGTGTAGGCCACAGTAGCCTTGAACTCAAGACCCTCTTGGGTTGCTGGGGTTGTGGGTGTGTACCACCGTGCCTGGCATATACGTAGATTTCTGTGAATTGACATTACTGCATGGAATTTTGTGCTCCACCCTAAAAGGCACATGAATTTGTGTTTGTGAGAAAAATGGCATCAAGAGTCTGAAGAGAACCTACTGATGAATTACTAAGTGGCTTGTTAGTGGGATGTGATACTTGAAAACTCCTTTTTTTGTTTGGCAGTACTGGGGCTTGAACTCAGGGCCTCACACTTGCTGGCAGGTGCTCTACCACTTGAGCCACTCCACCAGCCCTTAAAGTCATTCTGCAGTGCTTATAAGACTAAAATATTCACAAGTTGAAAATAAATTTGGCTTGTCTCCTACACCAAGTGAGCCTGGGCCTACAATTTGAATGCAAAGTAACTGAATTTTTCCCTTATTATTTCCTTGTAAATTTCATAGATGTGTCTGTTCTTGGGTATTGACCTGGAACTTTTTTTGTTGTTTCTTTCCTTCCACAGAAATGAGTCATAGGTCATCAGATTTCGCTAAGATTATCAATAACACAGAGAGTCTTGTGCGGGAATTATTGTAAGTTTAAGAAAGAATATATGTATATGTTTTTATTCGTTTATTTATATGTGCATACATTATTTGGGCCATTTCTCCCCCCCTCCCCACTACATGTTATTTTTGTTGGGTGCTCCATAAACCTGGGTGTCTCTTACATTTTCTAGTCTCTGCTGTTTGTTCAGAATATTCCATAATTTAAAAAATGTTTTCATGCTTTTCCCAGATTCACTATTAATACATAATGCCTTTTACTGTTTCCCCAGCCTGCATTTGTCTGTTTTTATTTTGTATGAGATTTCTAAAGATGTGAAATCATTGTATCTAGGAAAAGTTTTTCAGTTCTGTGGCAGATGAACTGACAAGAAAGAGTCTTAATAATGACAGTCACTTTTGTCAGCATAATTAACTAATCTAGTTTGGGGTTCTTAAGGTGTGGGCTTCCTGCCACCTGTCAGAGTTATCTGATTGAGTGTGGATATTAAAAAATTCAAGATGCTTCCAGATTTGCTGAATCAGAATGTTTGGAGAAACTTTAGTGGGCTCTCTGGGCAATTTTAAGAGTTCTGAGGGTTGGGTGAGGAGGCTCACAGCTGTAATCCCAGCTAGCTGGGAGGTAGAGATCCGAGGATTGCAGTTCAAGGCTTTCAACAGGCAAAAAGCTTTCAAGACATCCCTCCCAATTCCAAATTAGTAAGCCAGGCATAGTGGTGTTTGCCTGTCATTCCAGCTTTGAGGAAGGCCGTGGGTAGGAGGACTGAGGTTAGAGACTGGCCTGGGACCCTACCTGAAAAATAACTAATGCAAAAACAAGGCTGGGAGCATGGCTTAAGTGATAGAGCACCTGGTTGGCAAGAGTGAGGCCTCTGAGTTCAAATCCCAGTACCACCCCCTCCCAAAAGAAAAGAGCTCTGAACTCCAGGCACTGCTGCTTAAATGAAGCCTCTTATGTTACTTGCCCTGTCTTTCCTACCTGGAGATTCCCTTGTTCTTAAATAGATAGCTATTTAAAGAAGTATTGTGTAAGCATATAGTCACAGACACATATGAATATGGTAACCTTGAAAAATAAGCCAATTTTTCTGCTCACCAAAATAACCCACATTCATGGTACCAAGTTCAATAACAGGCTGCAATTAAAAATTAAACTGGAATTATCTATAACTCTACCGATCAGGGACCATCACTAGGATCTGTCTTTGGATCACTTCATTAACAAAATTGGGACTGTCCTGATTACTTTATACCACTGCCTTTTCAATGGCCTCAGTGAAGTGATTAGATGGGCAGGCTTGGAGAGATTTTGTGAGGAGCACTAGGAATAAGCCTGTCACACGAGTGTTTAGGACTGGTGATCATCGCTCGGCTAACCAGCCAAGGTCCATTTGGACCTTGTCCAGATGCTGGGTCCATGTCATATCCATAAGACAGCATTTTCCAGCCTTGAGGGAGAATCTAGAACCTTCACCCCAGAGATGTGGCATCGACCACATGGTTACAAGCCTCTTCTGACTGGGACCCCAATATAATTTATGGGCCTGTCCTTCTAACCACATTCTTACCTTGTACACCTATACCTAGGCCTTTGTCTGGTTTCCATCCGGTCAGTTCTTAGCCTTAAGTGCCCTGCATCTGAAAAACAAACCAGATGCCTGCCTTCTGCCAGTCCTTCCAGCTGCTAAGGACCTCATGGTTAGAATCTCCTGGCCTGGCTGATGGTTTGTTCTCTGAGCACTGAACACAGTGTAGAACAAGATACTTTCCAAGTTCCATTTCCACCTTTCCCTGCCTTTTATTAGTTTATTTGTGTGTCTGCTGGAGCTCTGTCCCCTGGCCTTCTGCCTTCTGTGTACCTGTTTCCAAGTTCTGACTGTTCATAAGGCTTGGGTCCAGTTACCATGGCCTTGACCTGTGGACCTGGCCTTATTCTACTGTCTGTAGCCACTAATCATCACCTTAATATTCTGTCAGGAAGTTAAAGAATTTTGCTGTTAATCTTGATAAATATTGGGTGTATGATTGGCCTAAGTAGGTCTAAACTTGCCTCCCAGTGTCCACCTGATTCATAGCATGGTGCTCAACACAGAAACTTTCAGGACTTTTGGTTGCAAGTGACAGGAGTCCAACTCACTGGCTAAAGCAGAAATGGGAATGTTTACCTGTGTAACAGACAAGTGCAGGAGGATTTAGGAGCTCCCTCAATGTATCAGAAAGGTCTTCTTCAAAAGAAGGCTCTGTTTGCCTATGTATAAGCTTTGCCAGACAGTCACCAGTTTTTGTAGGATTAGCTCCTACAGATTATTCTTTCCCTCAGTAGAAAAAGCTCTTCCTCCTAAGTTTGAGCACTGAATCCCATTGACCAGTGTGGATGATGTGCTCATTTCTTGGAGCTGAAGTTGGCCAAAGTTTAATACTGTGAACTGAGCAGCAGAGAAGGAACAGCGGGGTGTTACTAACAAAAGGAGGAAGCGCTTCCTTTAAGACGGTAGCCACAGGCTTCCACCACAGTCCCAAGTAAATAGTTGTACAAGGAATGAACAGATAAATGATGAAATTGGGAATACAAAGTAGTAGTAGGACTGTACCGTATTTCTTGTAGTAAATCCACCTGTGGCAAAGCACTTGGTAGAGAGCATCACTAATTCTCCATCTTCCGCCATGTGAGCCTGTGTATTTATTGTCACCCATGCTTCTTTCCAGAGCCGTTCCAGATAATTACAAGGTGATTTTTGTTCAAGGAGGTGGGTCTGGCCAGTTCAGTGCTGTCCCCTTAAACCTGATTGCCCTGAAAGCTGGAAGGTGTGCTGACTATGTGGTGACAGGAACTTGGTCAGCTAAGGCTGCTGAAGAAGCCAAGAAATTTGGGACTGTGAATATCGTCCACCCTAAACTTGGGAGTTACACGAGTGAGTGCTGGGAGACGGGTCACCCTGTGTACGGAATTTGTGCTTGCTTTTATTGCTCTCCTTCCTTGTCTGTAGTTAGTTTGACACTATGCTCATTGTTTGCTGTAGAAGTCTGCTGAGCTTGTACAGAAGAGTGCTCATAGGCTCACCTAGTTAAAACCCCAGGGGCCAGGTTGGCTTTCAGTGTGTCTTGATCAGGGGCCCTAACAATGTGTTCAGGTCTTACTGTCTCTGTTTTTCCTCCATGGTGGCTCCATAGTCAGGAAAACTCCCCATTCTGGAAAGATGGCTACAGTTGCTTCCATGTTCCAAATTGCCAGAGTGCTCCCAGTAACCATCTTGTGTCCCATGTGCCCCAGTCTGAATCAGTAACTGGCTGTTCCAGAGTCACTTAATAACTCTGGAGCTATGAGTTCAATTGACTCCACAGGAACCATGTGGCTTGAGGGTGGGTGAGGGCTGGGGTCCCAAGAAGAAATTACTAGACATGTCAGCAGACGTAGGAAGGATGGATACCAGATGACAAGAAAAACTCCTTGAGTCCTCCATGACATTTTTGAAGGTTATTTGTGCCCAATAAATTCCAAGGGCGTGAATGATCCTCCTGAGATGGTGGCGGTGATCAGGGAAGGTAGATACACACAGTGCTATCACTTGTGGAGTGCTTTGGATTCAGTCTTTTCCTACGGAGGGCGGGGGGGCGGACACGACAGTATCAGTCTTCCGGGTGTGACACCCATCTACATAAGGAAAAAAGTGTAAAAGTGACAAGTCTCAAAACTTACTTTCTGTGATAGAAATTCCAGATCCAAGCACCTGGAACCTCAACCCGGATGCCTCCTATTTGTATTTCTGTGCCAATGAGACCGTGCATGGTGTGGAGTTTGATTTTATACCTGATGTCAAGGGAACAGTGCTGGTCTGTGACATGTCCTCAAACTTCTTATCCAAGCCAGTGGATGTTTCCAAGGTAGTGTCTGTAGAAGAGGCAGTGTGGGGGACCCAGTGACTTGGTTTCTTCAGGGGGATTTTTGTGTACCTGACAATGGGAAAGGCCTTGGGAGTGGTAGCTGGCAACACCTCTAAAGCCAGGGCCAAAGTCACTGGGCAGGCTGACAGTTGCTTATTACTAGCTATGAACATCTGAGTGCTGGCAGTCCCACACTTGTGGTCATGACCACGTCACAGGGCAGTATGTACTCTAGGACTTGTGAACTTAACCTGCCTTTGAGAGTGGCTCTTGGGAACTTTGACTAACACAGTGGAAGTGGTGGCATGTTATCTCTGAAGACAGATGCAGATTACCAACCCCAGGGACCTGGGTGAAGGCACCCCCACCCCCATTCCTTGCCTTGTACCACCTCAACTCCAAAAGCACTGGCAGGACATTTAGACTTTATCAGTGCACACCAAGACTGGGAAGTGGGACTGCCACACCAGGTGTGGAAGAGGGTTCTCTATCTTGCATAACAAAATTTCCTGAAGTACTTTTGTACTCATCTGTTGTTTCCTAGAATTTCTTCTCCTGTAGTCTTTGTCACAGCAGTCTCCTTTGCACATGTTCTGATTATCTTTTTATATAACTGTAACAAATTTTGATTTAAGAGTTTTTTAAAAATCTAAATTGTTAATAATTTTAAATATTTTTACTTGAAATATTTAAACAATTTTAAAACTTTACCACTTGAAGATTATAAAAATATTAAAAACTGCATTAATAAGTTTTCTAGATAAAAAGATGTGTTTTTGCTTGGTTACCAAGGATGTCTAGAGGCCTCATTTTATGTGTGTTTTTTTTTGTTGTTGTTGTTGTTCTGTTTTGCTTTTGTTTTTTGTTTTTGAGATTGGGCCTTTCTATGTAGAACAGATTGGTCTTGAACTTGAGATTTTCCTGACTTAACCTTCTGAGTGTTGGGATTACAGGCATATGCTGCCATGCCTGGCTTCCATTTTGTTTTATTTATTTATTTTGTGGTGGTGGGAATCAAACCCCAGGTGCCTTGTACATGCTAAGCATGCACTCTACCACTGAACTACATCCCTTGCCCTAAAGGCCCATTTTAGGACCTTTTTTTGGGGGGAGTACTGGGGTGAACTCACACTTGCTAGGCAGGCACTCTACCATTTGAGCCTCTCTGCCAGCCCCAGAAGGCCCATTTTAAAGACTGGTTTGGCTGTAGAACAAGGTATGCCAAGAACATGAATGTGTGCAGAGCGCCTCTGCACTCTGAGAAATGATTTGCTGTTCAAGGTGGAGATTCCTGTAGAACATAGCATGCTACCTAAATAGGAATAGGGTCATTTCCTTATAAAAAGTTGTGCTTGAGGGTTGGTGGAGTGGCTCAAGTGGTAGAGCACCTGCCTAGCAAGCGTGAGGCCCTGAGTTCAAACCCCAGTGTTGACAAAACAAAGCAAAACAAAAGAAAAAAGAATCATGCTTGAGGGTGGGAAGTTTGCATGCAATGATTAAGAATGGGCACAAATGATTGCAAAACAGCATGTTTTTCTCTTTTTAAGTTTGGTGTGATTTTTGCTGGTGCCCAGAAGAATGTTGGCTCTGCTGGGGTCACGGTGGTGATCATCCGGGATGACCTGCTGGACTTTGCCCTTAGGGAGTGCCCCACTGTCCTGGAGTACAAGGTGCAGGCTGGAAATGGCTCATTGTACAACACGCCTCCGTGTTTCAGGTAACTCTGGGACGTCGCGCTTCCCTGTGTTCACGGAGGTAATCTAAGAGCCTCAGATGTCACCTCTCCCTCTGACCCTCTGTCCACAGTTTGATCACTTTTTCTTGTTGTTCCTTTTGTGGGGGTGGGGGTGGGGAACACATTGTATTTTGTTTGATCTTGGTAATCCAGGCCCTGGTTATTCAACATTAACCCTGTGGCCTGCACCTCAAACCACCAGTGTAAGGTTGGGGACCTAGCTGGTAGAGCACTTGCCTGGCATGTGCAGAGCCCTGGGTTCAGTTCCCAGCACTGGGGTAAAAATCAAACAAACATTAGTTTCAATCATCCACTGCAACTTTCCAGAATGAAAGGGTCAGGCTGCTGCAGTGAGTGGGGCCGCCTGAGTCAGGCTCCTTTGGAGCTCCGACTCCCCTAGTGCTGCCTGGAGATGTCTCCCACATAACTTACTCTAAGGACAAATTTTGTTTCAAAGTTAGGATTCCAGTGAAAACATTTCTGCATGACCCATGGGATCAGAGCAGTCCTCCTTTTGCGTCCCTCACTTTCCCAGGGAGTAGGTTATTCTGGTGTTAATTTCCCAGTCACCTCTAAACCCCACTCTTGTACCTGGGCTGGGCTGGGCTAGGGCTATCTCCCCCTCCCCTGTTTAACCTGTGGGGTTTGAGGCAGTGAGGAAGCACCTGTGGTCACTGGTTAGCTAGAGAATGGAACCGGGCAGGCTCTGGTGAAGGTATAGTTCGGGACCTCACATGCAGGATTCTGAGGTGTCAGGCCAAACATGGCAGGAGGAGGGAGGAGGTGGCCAGCCTTATCTGTTAGAAGGTAGGACCATGAACCTGGCTCAGTTAGGTGCCTCTTTCAGGGGGAGGCCAAGGTCACTGCCATCTTTAGAAGTGAGAAGGTGGGTAGAGAGAGCATATGAGGACTGTCCTTGAAATGTGCCTGAAGGCACTGATCAGGACACAGCCCAGAGGGGCAGGATGAGCAGTTCACCTTACCCTGGGGCATCTTCTTTCAAACTTCCTTGAAACAGCTTTTTTTGTTTTTTAGTTCAGGGTTTTGAACTTAGGGCTTTGCACTTGCAAAGCTGGTACTCTATCACTTGCACCACATCTCTAGCCCAAAACACACTTAGGAAGTTCATACCCTGTTTGTTAATGTTAGGGTAAAAACCCCTTAGTAGGAACAGTGAGGAAGCAGGCCAGATGGAAGTGAGAAAAAGTCTGTGAGTGAGGAATGATCTTTAATCTACCACTTGCAATAATAGAGTTCATTTGCAGTGCTTCAGCGGTCAGGGTTAGAAAACAGCCCAGTGAGCACCGCCTCTGTATGAAGACATAAAGCCCTATGAGGAACGCCCTCCCCAACCTCAAATGTCAGGCTGGCAAGGCACCTAGAGCCCGGGTGCACTTCCTGTCATCCGCCTGCCTGTGGTGGGGTGTTCTGTTTCGTTTTGGTTTGTTTGTTTTGGTCAGAGCTGAACAGCCATAGGACCTTGGATCTTTGTTTAGCTGTGCCAAATAAACTGGGCTTTAAATAGTGCTCTGTAGCCCTGAGCGATGAACTGGGGTGGAATAAAGGGCCACAGGGTCATTCTCTTCACCCCTTTAGTAGAACACTCTATACCCAATTAGTGGGTAGAGGAAGAGATACCCAGACATCTACTAACCAGGCCACCTTTCTTACTGGAATGGGAGGTATTGGTCAGCCTACTTGTGCCAGGCTGCCTTCCCCTGCTTAGAAGGGGAGAAGCCTGAAGTCTGTTCTTATGGGGTGAGGTGGAACCAGCTGGGGGCTGTCTTCTGGATAAGTGTTCAACTCATGAGAAAGTTGTGTCACATCAAGTCCAGAAACTTGTCCGTACCGTCGGAACTTTCTGAACAGCTCAGGAGTTTTCCAGGGGGCTTTCTGGTGTGCTTTTCTAAGATTTGGCCCACAAAGAATAGTTGGTATTGCTTTAAGAAAATTTTAAACGAAACACACTCTTAGCAACAATTTGCAAGTGAGCAGTCACCAGGGTAACCAATGTAACCACTTTCTGTGCATCTCAAGACTATTCGCTGGGCATATGTAAATGTATGTATGTCTTCTGCCTCCAGGGCAGCCTGCTTCCTTCTGATTCACCTGCCTCTTGCTGAGGCTTTGGAGACCAAGGCTCAAAAGATTGGTTACAGGCTGCCTGTAAAAGTACGTAGACTTCCTGCTGATTCTGCCTGCTCAGATCCTCTGAAGAAAGCCAAAGAGAATGGGCAGCGACCTAGGGATTCATTTGTTTGCCCTGAGGTCTGGCTGGGACAGTGGACTGGCCTGGGCCCTTGCTGCACCTTTGGCTTTTGTTAGACAACTATCAGTTTTAAAATCCTGGGATAACAGAGCTGCAAGGAAAAGTGAAGGTCTTCTAAAAGTACTAGTCACGACTCTGCTTGGATCACAGCATGGCGGAGAGTGTTTGTGGTTTATGGGGGATGAGCAGGCTGCAGATGTGGTGGAAAAGTGGTTTGGGGTTAAATAGAATTCACGAGCATTATTTAGAACATGGATAGGAAGCAGCATATCTGGAATCCATACGTGGACATATGGGTACGAGTGTGCTGTGTGCCCCCAAAGTCGCTGCACTTACTAGGTGTGACTGTTGACAGCCCAAATGTCCCATTAGCAGGGGAGCTAGGGGTTGAGGTTTGCTGCTGCTGGTAAACCAGACTGCCCTGATACCAGTGAAAAGAGCTCAGGCTTTGAAGTCAGGTAGACTAGGGGTGGAATGCTGGCTTTATCAGCCACTGTGGAGCTCTCTGAACTTCAGTTTCCTCATCTGTAAAATGTGATAACAGAGCCTGTGACCTCAGGATTATAGTGATCAGTAAAAATAGGGAGAGACCACAGTAGAGTTCAGTGAGGTTCATTCCTTTCTCTTCCTTTGCCTCTCTGACTTCATTCTTTAGACAGAGAACCACAGGGGAAGCTGTGATCTACTCAAGCTGTTTTCTCCTCCCTCCTTCCCTCCCTTCCCTGTCAGTCACTAGCCACTGTGGCTCTTTTCCTCCAAGGGCTACCCAGGGAGATAGACTGGGGAGATTCTGGAGAGGTTATCCTGTGCTTTTGAGTGCTGTTTGCTCTCAGTCCAGGGTCCCTCTGGGCAGCTTGGTGTTGGCCTCTGCTGCATTCTGGAAGAGCAGCTCCTGGGTCCTTGATCTTGAGATAGCAAAGGAGCCAGTCAGTACCAGGGGCTTCTCTGTGTTAGTCTTCTGGCTGTCAGAGCATTTTCCAGGCACGATGATCTTCCCTGAACACCCTGGCATGGTGTTCACAGATTGGAAGTGTTAGAAAATGAGCAGGCAGCTGGGATGGGGGAGTTCCCACTCCACATTTTTGCTGAGCATTAACTCCTGTCAAATTTTTGCACAATTCCCAGAAAGGAGAGATGGTAACTGGGAGCTGACCACCTCTAAACTCCTAATCCAAGGAGGGTGGTGTCTCATCTTTTGGGAACCTGCTTCTGCCCCATGGGCTTTAACTGAGAGATGATGTGTGGTGCCTTTTTAAAGATGAGACATTCAGAAGGTCACTATTCTAAAATTCCATTTCAGCTTAGTTTGGGTACTAATAGCAAAGATACTCCTAGCTACAATTTGTGTGGTTTGCCTGCAGTGCACCAGGTTCTGTGCTAAGCAGTAACTTTGAGGGAGACAGAAAATCAAAAATACTTGGCTTAGAAAGGTACGGTTGCAAGCTGTAGGAAGGGCTGTGTTACTGTTGGGCTTCTTGGAACGAGGAACACAAACCCTATACCATTTGCTCTCCATTTTTGAGCCTTGCTTTTCTCAGCTGGAATGTTTGCTTGCATTTTTCACATTGAGCCTCCTTCAAATGTTTCCAAGAAATAGAATCCCCCCTAAGGCTCTGCCCTCATAACTTGTACACCAACACAGTTCTATCTCTCTCTCTCTTTCTCCATGTTTAGTTAAAAACATCTCAGTCATTTAATGTTTCTGATTGGTCTGGTTAGGTCCTGTGCCCACCTCTTTAGTCCAGTGCGCAAGGCTCACTGGGAATCTGCCTGTTGGATGGGGGGATGATGTTGAGACAATCAGGGTAGCTACAATGCCAGGTGTCTACCATAGGTAGGTTAGTCTCCTTATTCCCAATGGGGAAGCCCCGGCTTAGATTCCTGAGGTGACTGATCCTGTGTAGTGTTTGTAAGTGGCAGCACTAGGGCTGGAGCTTGAATGGTGACAGAGCTCATGGTTTAACCACTGTGCCATGCTGGCTCTGCCAGGCGGAAGGCACTGTGTTTGGGTTATGGGATAGAAAAGGTGAACAGTGTGAGCTTCCAGCCTTCTAGGACTGTAGAGTCTAAAACACAGGCACATAGAAGTATAAAATAAAGGAGCAAATGGTAAAAAAAAACAACAAAACTATGAGGGTAGAAAACAAGGGACTCAGGAAGTTGAGGAAGCAGAGTTAACTCTTGGGGGGAGAGCTGATGGGAGCAACGTAAATAATGTACAGTATAAGTCTAATCAGAATTGTCACTATGAATCTCCCCCCATATAGTGAGTATATCCAAAAATAATTTGTATATATAAAAAGTTAACTCTAAGTGGAGTTGGGCAGAGGGTGTGACGATGTCCTGGGTTAGGGGTGTGTGTTCCAGGTGTGATGGAGAATTTGTGCTGGGGCTTAGAGGCACTGCTGTGGCATCTGTTGAGGTGTCCTGTTAAGCCTCTTTCTGAATGGTCTTCATCGGTCTAGTCCTGGGCTTACTGAGCTGGGTATCCTGGTTCCTGCTTATAACCATAGCATTTGGGAGGCTGAGGCAGGAGAATTGCGGGTTTGAGGCCAACCTTGGCTACACAGTGAGACTGTCTCAAAAAACAACAGTAATACAAAAAGGAAGATATAATTGGGATAACCCTAGATCTTGCTTCATGACATGCTCTTGTTTACATGTGATCAGCTTTTATCTTGTCTGTTTCTAACAGTGTTATGTCTGTCTTAATGCGACTTAGACAACAATTTGCTTGAATGTCTTTCCAGTTTTGCAAAGCTGGGACTAACTGGATTTTTGTTTTAATCTCTATTTTAGCATCTATGTCACGGGCATGGTTCTAGAGTGGATTAAGAATAATGGCGGGGCAGCAGCCATGGAGAAGCTTAACTCCATCAAATCTCAAATGATTTATGAGATTATTGACAATTCTCAAGGATTCTATGTGTAAGTCAGTAGATTTTACTTCATATTTTGCTCTTGTGAATTGAAAATAGACTTTTGAAAAGTGGGCATACTCTCTCTAAGATAAAAATCTTGATGAGTGTGGGTCATTTGTGTCCCATGAATGAGGTGGTAGTAAGTTTTTTCCCTCCTACACCCTATTCCAGACGATAGTGATATTTCTCCCTCCAAAGACATTGTCTTGGGGAAGAATTCATTTGCTCCCTGGTGTAGATCCTTCTACTCCCTCCTTGTGTCTCCTGGAAAAACAACTTGCTGGAAGCTGTTGAGTTTATCTAAGGCCTCTGTTGGCCACCACTGGTATAAACACCCACTCCTGCCTCCCTTGCCTTTATGGAAGTTCACTGCTTTCCTTCTTCCAAGATACATGCTGCCATCCCAGGTCTGCCCTCTGAAAGGAATTGGTTATGGCAGGGTGACTGCTAGTGCAATATTTTCATGACAAAATGATTAAGGAACATGTCTTGACTTGGGCCAGCATCTGTGAGGGCCCATAAAGTGTTTGGATCTTGTATTAATGTCCTAGGGCTGCCATAACAAAGCACCACAAACTTGATAAACTTGATAAAGTTTTAAAACAGCAGAAATTCTCACTGTTCTGGAGGCTTGGCTCCCTCCAGAGACTCCAGGAAAGAATCCATTTCTTACCTTTTCCATCTTCCAGTGGCCCCAGGTGGTCCTGGATTGAGGCTGCACTATCCCAGTCCCTGAGTGTCTGTATGTTTTCTCCTTTCTAGTGTGTCTTCTGTCTCTTTCAGGGACAGGTCAGTGGATTTCCCATCCCCCACTTACCCCCCAAGCTCCAGAAGAGTCCAGTATCCCTAATATACATACATCTACGAAGACGGTTTTTCCAAATAGGTCAAATTCATAGGATTCTGGGGTTGGGACATGGGACCACCATCTAACCAACTACAAGCTCCTCATCACAGTACCACAGGGGGGTACCTATGGCAGTGCCTGGGACTCAGAGAAGCTTTGCTGATGATAGTACCACTTGATCTTCCCTTTCCCTCAAGGCGGGCACAGATGTACACAGACCAGACTTCGTGTGTGTGTGTGTGTGTGTGTGTGCTTATACACACATTTACACATACATACATAAGCATTTATACTCGATTACCAAGCCAGGACCCCTGTTCTGGTGGTTAATATTCTTTGAGGTTCTGTCTGTTGTAGAAATACCTGCCTAAGAGTGAGGATTAGTACTTCCGTGAGTATGGGCCACATGGCATGATGTCTCAGTCATAGTTTAGAATTGTGTTTTAGCCAAGACTTGCTAAACATGTTTGTAGGTTCCGTGGGTGGAGGGCTGGATGTGCTCTTTCAACAGCTCTGATAAAGCAGCCTGCTGTCACCACCTTTCCCCTGAAATGGTTATTGCCGGCTTCTGTGAGCTCTTGTCTGCAGAGGCCCTCCACCCATAAGCCCTGGGGGCGTGGGCTTGGCTGGATGCCTTGGCCTTTGGCTTCTTCTCCATGTGCCATCTGGGGGAAGGAAAGCACCATGCACTTTCCTGCCTGCCCTCTGGTTCTATGCAACAGAAGCAAGTAGGGTGGGGGCTGGGGAAGCTTCCATACTAGAGCCTGATATGTGAGGAGCCTGGGAAACCCCACCTGTGCTTACTGGAGTCATTTTAACATTAAAGATTAGCAGTAGAAGGTCCAAGGAGTTAAAAGTTAAGGGCGAAAGATGTGGCATGAGCTTGGAACAGGGCTGTGTTGTTTGATTGGAGAGGAAGGGAGTGCTTTCAGAAGAACTTTGGGTGTGAATAGACAGACAGGTAGGCAGGAGTACTTTTAGGATATAAGAAAGCAGGGACAGCCCCCTTCTTTCTGAGGGAAAAAAAGCACAGTGTTTGGAGAGCAGATAATGGGGTTGCTTTGGTGGGGATGACTTATTCTAGGATTGGAGGTCTGAGGGTGTGTTTATAGTCAATCTGCTCATTCCTCTTGCCACTTATCTACATACCCATTTACTCAGCCATCTAACCATCTATCCATTTAGTCACCTGTCCATCCATCCATCCAGCCAGCCAGCCAGCCACCCACCCATCTAACCACCCATCCATCCATCCTCTCTTGAGCACCCACTCTGGGCCAATCTTGTTCTTGGCTCCTCAGACACCAAGAAGAATAACTCATTTTCCCTGGCAGGGTGTGATGATCCGATTCACCCATCTATCCATCCATCTATTTGTCCTATCTTGAGCACCCACTCTGGGCCAATCTTGTTCTAGGCTTCTAAGGCACCAAGAAGAATAACTCATTTTCCTTGGCAGAGTGTGGTGATTCGTACCTGTAATCCTAGCTTCTTGTGTGGTAGGGATCAGGAGGATCACAGTTCTGGGCAAATTGTTAGTGAGATACTCAGTCAATAAAAGCTGGGCACAGTGGCACACGCCTGTCATCCTAGCTGCTTAGGAAGCATGAATTGGATCATGATGCAGCCCTGCCCAGGCATAAACATGAGAGAGACCCTGTGACCCTATTTCAAAAGTAACTAAAGCAAAAAGGGCTGGCAGTGTGGTTCAAGTGGTAGAGAGGCTGCCTAGCAAACATGAGGCTCTGGATTCAAACCTCAGTACATCCCAGAAAAGAAAGAAAAAGTACCCAGAACCTTAGAGTAAATGAAAGGATTTGGTGATTATTTTGGAAGGGAGACCAGTTTTTTTTCTTTGGCTCCATATGTTTCATAGGGGATGAATAGACATTAAATTGGAGGACAGAATAGTGGTACCTCTGAGGGAAGATCTGGGAATTAGGAACAAAATAAGAAGCCATAGAAGGAAAGGCTGAGAACCTCCTGAATGGTTTTTGTCCCGAGGTCCTTTAATTCCAGGTCTATCCTGGGCCTTTCCCAGAAGCTCGCCTGCTGAAGCTGCTGTGGCAGGTGAGTCATCTGCTGGGGAAACCAATCACTCTCATATCTAGTACTCCATACCTAGGACTCCTCTTCATGATGAACAGCCTCAACCTGGGACTTGGTCCTCTTTAGAATTAATCTCTTTCTGGGAACTGCCATCACCCTGTCTGCCACCTGCCTAGAAAATGTCACTTAGGCTGATGATTGCCCTGAGGGACCTTCTTCCAGAGTCAAGAGCAGGTGTTTACTGGCTGTCCTGTGTTCACCTGTGTTCACAGCTGGAGACTGTTCTAGCAGCCCCTGCACTCAATTTCTCACAAAATTCTGTACTTTTCTTTTAACTATGGAAATAGTTCAACAAGGCCTCAAGGGGCGGCAGGCTGTTGGGCAGATGCAAAGAGGATACTGAGGACCTAGATTAGAATTTGCTGTTTACTACTGCCTTTGCTCCTCATTTTTGTTTTTAACATGCTCTCTGACAGTTAAAAGGCAGTGCCTTTCTGAGCAGGCTGTGACAGTGGCCCCAGCAAGGACCCCTAGATTAGACAACTCTTGAAGCTTCCAAGTTCACTCACAGCTTAACCTCCCCAATGGTACTGGTGACTTAGAGCTGAGCCCATGTGGCTAACCTAGAATTGTAGGGCATCCTGGGCCTAGAAGCCCCACTTCACCACTTGACTAGCATGTGTATAGCCTTGGGCAAATGATCTGACTGCCCTTAGCCTCCGTTTCCTCCTCTGAACAATGGAGGCAATGATGGTGCATGCTGCCCGTGACCATCATGAGGATTGAATGGAAATGTGCTTGAATATAGATTGTCTAGTTTAGGGATTAAGAGCATAGGCTTTTGTGCTAGTCAATTTCTCAAAAGCACTAGAAACAGCATCTCATTGTGAGTATTCCTCCTGTGCTAGGGTTTAGGATTACCGTTTGTGGTTATTATTGTATAAAGCACTTTGGATGATCCTGACGTATATATGTATATATATAGGTACTAACTTTTATTATAAGGATGTCCAACTGACAGATGCCATGTCTGGATGTGAGGTCACCTTTATTACCTTAAGCGGGGACCGGGCCTTAGGTAAGAGGATGTGTGATGGGTCTAGTGAATGAAGAAGGTGGAGTACTGAGTACTCTACAAACAAGATTACATTGCTGTCAGCCCTGTTAACATTACCTTTCCTAAATTTCTGTGGCAGTGAAACAGCTTCTTCATTGGTGCCTGTGAACTTCTTCCATGTCAGTGTTCCATGTGAACTTTGGGAAGTGCCCCCCTAGAGTTCTCCTTAAATCTTTATGGTTTTGGGATTACCCAGCCAGTTCCAAGGCCACCTGGAGCCCACACTGAACCTCTCATTCAGCCTTGGCCCCTGTTCTCCCATGTTCCTTATCCAGTTCAGGTGATAGACCCACCTCTGAAATTTAGTGTTAACTCTGGAGCTTGCAAACTAGGGAGCAGTGACCAGGCCAGTTAAATAAAAATTTGAATCAATATTGGGATTTTATCTATAGTCTGTGTGTCCCTGAAAGTGGAGCAAAGACAGTTTGCACTGTCTATGTGTTTCTAGAAAAAAAAGGATAGTGTATTTCTCTGGCAGTAAAGAACTGTCATCCACATTTGATGTGTAACAAAGGGAAGTGGCAGTGAGTGTTTCACACCAGTCTGCTTCATCATTTGTTTGAGTGCCTGGCACTGGAGTTTGTCACCCATGCTAGAAGCACTTGGTGCTGTGCCTTGGGAATGGCCTTGGTTCTTTTGACCTAGAAAGTCCTTGGCAAGAGCTTCACATCTCTCGCCTTCCATTTCCTCCTCTCAGTCTCTCCTCTGTGTGCCATAGTTATATTTCTAAAACAGATCTCCTATTGTGCAAACCTACTGCCCTCATTGCTCAAGGATCCAGTCCAGTTGAATGTCTGTGGGACCCTCCATGGGCTCAGCCTTGGGCCCTTTGCAGCACACCAGCTAAGTTAGAGCTTGCAGGCTACCTCTCTACCTCTGCAGGCACAGGGCTCTGCCAGGACACCCGTCTTCCCTGTCCTTCCAGTGCTGATAACCCTACGTCCACTCCTGAAACTTGCTAAAGTTCTCAGCAGAATTGCTTGGCTCTGTCTCCTGCTCTTCTGTTACCGTAGGATTGCAGTTCCCTGCAGAGCCATCTCCTGTTAGGTTGGGAGCAGCTGTTGCCCCTGGTCTTTTTTTTTCCCCCTCATTCCTGTGCCAAACACATATGGTCAAGGGTGCTGTGTAAATATTTTTTTCCTGGTGATTTAATCTCCAATTTCTAGCTTTTATGACATGACTGTTTATGGTGCTTACACTTCTACAGTAGGGTGGGTAAATTTGGGGGGGATGAACTGTAAGGTCCTTAATTCTTCCTTCTCCTACTTTTTTTCTTAAATTTGCTTTTTGTTGCTCTACTTCTATGATTGGGCCTTCACATTGAGAGCATGGGGCAGCAGAATATCAGAAGAGGATGCTGAGTGTTTAACTTAAAATATCAGCCATGAAACCTACTGCCTGTGGAAGGTGTGGCTGGGATTCAGGCTCAGTCTTTCCCTCTTACTCTCTCCCACCTGAAGATGTGCACATGACTCCTGCTAACTACGGCAGGAGTATGGATGTGCTCTCAGGGCTTTTTTTTTTTCTTTCGGGACTCCTTGCACTGCTGTTGTTTGATGTTTAATTTTAATGAACCCCACCTGTAGAAGTATAAGGACTTCAGGATATAGTTGAGGAAAGGAGAGAGGGCTTACATGTTGGATTTCCTTTTATTCCAGAGTTTCATTTCTGCTTTTCCTCCATTTTTCTCCTTTGGTTGTCACTGGAGAATAATTTGGCTACTTATTTTCTAAATCAGACACTGAAACAAACACTATCTTTTCCTCAAAAATACACATTTTTTGTGAGATTCTCTATGTGCTTTGTGTAAAAGGTGCTGAGAAGAAAAAGACAGATTTATTCCATTTAACAGATACTTACATAGCATTTAATGTATTCTAGATTTTAAATTTGATTTATTTAATTTAATTTATGGTGCTGGGGATGAAATCCATGGCCTCTCCATGCTAGGTTAATGCTCTACTACTAAGCTATGTCCCAGCCACACACTTTTTTATATTGTATCAATTTATTCTCTATCTGTGAGTCTGAGAACATCCTAGAACAACTTAATGATTAAAACAACCCTTTTCTTTGCTGGTTCTTTGGGCTGAGCTCAGCTGAGTTCTGGCTGGGGCTCCCTGGTTTGGCCGGAGTCAGCTGGTGATTCAGGTGCAGCCAGATGGCTGTGGTTCACAGCTCCATCGTGTTAGTTCAGGCTGTATGTGTCAGCAGGGTTAAGCTGCCACGAAGGGAAGCTAGCCGCAAGGCCTCTTGAGGCTTGGAGGTTGCGTGGAATCACTTCTTTTGCAATCTCTTGGCCAAAGCAAGTCATAACACCAGCCCAGATTCAAAAGGTGGAGAATTAGATCCTACTAATTTTTTCCTTTTGATTTTAAAAAATGTGCTCTTCAGATTCTCTATAAATGACTTAATATTAATGGCAACTTTTTAAATTTGTTTTTGAACCAGGGTCTTGATATGTAGCCTAGGCAGGTCTTTCGATTCTCCTGCCTCAGGCTTCGAGTGCTGGGATTGCAGGTGTGTGTCTCCACATCTAGCTAATACAGCATCTTTTGTTGATGTGCTGGGTTTTGAGTTCAGGGCCTCATGCTTGTTACGCAGGCACTCTGTCACTTGAGCTACCTCGCTAGCCCTGTTTTGTGTTGGGTATTTTTGAGATGGGGGGGTCTCAGGAACTATTTGCCCGAGCTGGCTTTGAACTGTGATCCTCCTGATCTCTGTCTTCTGAGAAGCTAGGATTACAGGCAGCAGCTACCAGCAAATACAGCATTTTTTGAAGTGGATTCCACACATATTCCCACTGTTTAGATGGGGAAGGTGAGGCATAGAAGAGTGGTTGTGTCACTTGCTCAAGGTCACACAGATTGGAAGAGTACAAGGTGATGAATCTTTGACATTGCTGTTCATTATTTTTACATCTTACCCCCAGTGCTAGGACCAACTTCTTATTTCGCTGCAGCCTTGCAGAGAAAGCACGTTTACTGCATTGGCTGCAAGGCATTGAAGCTTTATACAGTTATACCGCTGAACCATCACAACTAGTATCAATTAAAGGTATTACTATTCCCAATATTCAGATGAGACTGAGGCTTACAGAAACTAAATTAATCTCCTGCTTGCCTCTAGAACAAGAGTTTTAGTAGATTTGGTAATGACAGCCCGTGCCTGTCAGAAAAGTAGCTGGAATAATAAACATGTTTTTCAGGTGTCCAGTGGAACCCCAAAACAGAAGCAAGATGAATATTCGGTTCCGCATTGGAAATGCCAAAGGAGACGATGCTTTAGAAAAGAGATTTGTTGATAAAGCACTTGAACTCAACATGATCTCTTTGAAAGGGCACAGGTGAGTACACCTTCAGGCCCACAGCTTGTCGGAGATGGCAGAATGAATAAATCTAGGAGTAGCAGTTACATAACTTGATAGGGACACCAGTTGTCACAAGGGAGTGCCTTACTCCTGTTTCCAGAATCGGCAGCCCAGTTCCCTGTGTGGTATAGTAGAGCCATATCACTCCTGAGGTTCAGCCAGAATTACCTCTTACCCTGCTCCTACGACACACGTCTCTGAGGCCAGCACCCCTCTGTTCTGGTGTGAAAGCATTCCAGTTGAGCATCTGAGAGAGTATTTTGCATAATCTATAAAAAAAATTATAGACTCACACAGCAATTGCCTGGTCCCCTCTGGTTGGCACTGTTGGGTGGGCTCAAGAGTGACCTGGTAGGAGAGTCACTACAGTTAACATTTTCATCCCACTTCTCTTTTCTTCCCCTTAGCTAATTCTTTATCAAGAATGAGTAGTGTGGATTAATCACAGTGTGAGCAAGGTGGCCTTCATAGGATGTGGAAGCTCTGTGCCTGTCAGGGGTTTCAGGTGGGAGGTTGGGCATTGTGGTCTCTGGTGCTATCCCTCTCAGGACTGGTGACTAGTGGAAGTCATATTGATTTTTTTTTTTTTTTGCGGGGGCGAGGGTGTGCTAAGAATTGAACCCAGGGCCTCACACATGCTAGGAAAGCGCTGTACCACTGAGCTACATTGCCGGCTCATTGCTTTTTTTGAGACAGGGTGTTGCTCTGTGGCCTGGTCTGGATTAAACTGGCAGTCCTCCTGCCTCAGCTTCCTGGGCGCTGGAATTACAAGTGTGCGACACCACATGCTTGCATTATTTAATGGTCAGATCTTTGGTCATTCTAGGTCCGTGGGAGGCATCCGGGCCTCTCTGTATAATGCTGTCACTCTGGAAGATGTTGAGAAACTGGCCGCCTTCATGAAAAACTTTCTGGAGATGCATCAGCTATGAACACACTCTCACCAGTGTATTCCCGCCCTTGAACAATGTACAAAGTTGAGAGTAACTTGGGAATGGCTACAAAAGCTTAATAGATATGGTATTTTTTTCCAAACGAATGTACTCATTATAGATTCTTTGTTGCAAAGAAGAACAAGATATCCTGAGTTCTGCAAAGCTGATGGGACCACAGCTAATGGCCGCCTTAATTTAGACTTGAAGTGGAAGCACTTAAACAATCTTCCTGTTGCTTTTCTAATGAATTCCAGACTATTTTGTCTTTGCTGCTACTTTTGTAGCTAGATCTCAGTATTTGAACTTGCCTCAAATTTAATTATGCCAATTACAATTAGTTATTTTTGGAGTCACACAAACACACCGCATGGAGGATGGGGGTGGGGGAGCTTCCAAGGGCAGCAGTGGGTCTCCTGGGTCCCACTGCTGTTTGTTTAGGTCAACATTGACCATACTTGAGTGCTTTGGAGTCCCAGACATAGGGCAAACTGTCAACCTTTGTTTATACTGTCATAAAGAGATAAAAGTAACTTGGTATGTAACTGTTTACATAGCAAGGTCTTCCTAAGGTACCATACAGTTTATATATCTGTTTGTATTTCTAATAAAACAGTTCTCAGTGATGTGTGTAAAATTTGTTAAATCCTTGACTTGTGCATTACAGCATTCTGTCAGCAACAGTTGTACCCCTGTCCAGTCCTCCCCCTTTTGATAAGCTGATTCATGAAAAGGATCTAGAGGTTCCATAATTCATTTTCACTCTTTTTTGAATCAGTAGAAGAAATGGTTGGTTGGTTTTTTTATTTGTTTTTTAATTATGCCATCACACTAAAAAATCTGTTACACTCTCTTGTCCTGTGTCTACTTGATGGTTTTCTGTGTAGTTTGATCAGAGCGATACTGTGAGTTCCAGAAGATCTTTGCTGAAGAGGCTTTTCCCCTGTTGTTTTTCTGCTGTCAGTATTGTATATTGAATATGTGAAGAACATTAAAATCCTAAATCATCTAAGTGTTTGTCAACGAATTCTTCTACCTGCTTTGTAGACAAATGCTTTGTTTAAACATTATGGTGGGGAAACTAGTTTAAAAGTAGCATAGAATAGGGTAATTTAGTTCAACCAAAATAACCAGAGTAAAATGGTCTGGAAGTGTGGCTCAAGAGGTAGAGCACCTGCTTTGCAAATGGGAAGTCCTGAGTCCTGAATTCGAAACCCAGTCCCTCCAAAAAAAAAAATTAGAGAACTAGTGTGGTAGCTAGCCATTTGCCTTTGGAATGGATATGGTTGGCAAGCTACCTCCCAGAGCAGCTCCCAGCGTGAAGTTCTGTGAACTCCAACTCCTTTGCCCCAGAAATGTGCCAGTGGGATGGTTTTGCACTCTTCCTGAGGCTGTACTGATTTCTCATCCTGTCTGTACACTGAGTAGTTGGGTCCCCTGAACCAACTACTGAGAGGTTTCAACCTCTCAGGCTTGGTTCTCACCTGTAAAAGGAGGTTGAAATAACTCCCCCCATGTAGCATAGGTCTGTTTGAGGGTAAAACAAGGTCTTGATGCAGGATATGAAGGAAGACTCACAAAAGCCAGCCAGTTCCTAGAACCTACCTGTGTCTACATATAGTGGTGCAGCCTTCCCTCCTTACCTTCTTCCTCACACTGATTGTAAATCCTTGTCTGAACTGACTTTGCATTTCTCAAATTTACTAATTTCTGTTCCCATTATGGCCAGGTCTGCTTTGTCAGCCCTGAGTGGATTAATTCAGCAGCCTCATCTCTGCCCCCTACCCACCCCTTCCGCTGGTGGGGCTGTGACTTTCCTTGTGCTCTTTATTAATGCATAAAAAAATCCCAGGCCTCAAACTGAGCACACCTGCAATCCCAGGCATGAGGCAGGAAGATTGCTAGTTTCAGGCCAGCTTGGGAGATACAGTGAGACTCTCAAAAACATTAAATGAAAAATTGTAGCATCTGGCCTGGCCTCTTCTAAGTTTTTGGAATATGACATGCGTTTGTCTGCACTGTGACATAAGCCTAGATTTCCTGCCCCCACTGCCTTCAGGATGCCTACCGGCTTCTAACCTGTTTGTTTCCTCTATTGAAACAATTCTTTTTTTTTTTCCCCTTTTGTTCTTATGCAGGTGACCCTTTTCCCCATTAGAACACCCTTTTCTGTTGATGGTGCTGGGGTGGCTGCTTGTCTGACTTCCCCATGCACTGTGGAAAGAGCCATGGTTACCTCCCGCCCCTGGTAGGTCCCTGCTCTCGGGAGGTTTTCAGGAATTGCTTTATGAAAGCAAAGTCCTAACAAGTCTTCCTGAAGTTGCGGTAGTAAAGGCAGAAGGATACAATCTCAAACACGAGTATATTTTCTTAAATTTTCAGAAACTTACTATATAATACAATTAGGTCAAAAATGAGTCCCTGGTTGAATAAAAAAGCCTTAAATCTTGAAGGTTCCCTAGAACTATTTGTTAACCCAAAAACTTCTGGAAAGTGGTCAACAGCTACATGCATATGTACAAGAGGTAGCCACTTGCCCTACCGTGGGGAGATTCTGGTGCACAGATTGCTTGAAAACAGTCATCAGAGCCTAGAACTTGACCTTTGCAGGTCTCAAGGGATGAGCTGGTGTCGTTCTGCCAGCCGCTCGGAGAGGGGTGTGGAGGGTGTGTGTGAGGACATGCGTGCGCAGCACTGGTTGGCAGGCTGCAGGACTGCTGTCTTGGGATCTGGTGGAGGCTTTGTTTGGGGCTGCCTCGTGTTCCTTGGGGTCCTTCACATGTGCTTCTTCAAACTGAATTTCAAGTTTTACTTTTCTCTTTCAGAATTCTTTGCAGCATACTGATAGTAATGTCATCCCGGTGAGAGAAAACAAATTTGGTCCTTCAGTTGCTCACTTCCACACTCTGCTTTGTCTCCAATACTGCAATCCCGTTCTTTGTGTGCACAAGAAACAAATTAGGGTTCTGTCCCTCACCCCTTGTTCTCTTGCTGGACTGTTTTTTGGCATCCCTGATGTTACCATTTCATCACAGCGTAGTAGCCAATCCTGGAAGGCTCGGCATGCTTTTGGATAACTGAGGTGACATGTTTTCTCCTCCCTGCCTTAAGAGCTGGAAGCAGCTCAAAGACCATAACAATGGACAAGGCTCATTGATAGATTTGATGTCCAGTTCTGCCAAAGGCATTACTGAGTCTGACCTTGTATCACTCTGTGATTAATGTTTGTTGTATCATGTTCTTTGGAAGGAAAATAAAACAAGGAAGAATTTTCTCACATTTGATTGGAATGAGCATAATTAAAAAGTGAAATGCTACTGAGTCTGCTAAGAAATCAATCACTTTAATTGGAAAGAAGATTCCCTGCCTTGGTTGGTAATTTGGCTCTTGGTAATTTAAAATTGGAATCCCTGACAGTTTGTGATAAATTGGCTCCTTTTGGGCAGGTAAGAAGTTCCATTTGTTCCAGAACAAATGAGAACTCTTGATCAAAGAGATATTGGGAGAGAGAAAATCTAGCAGTGAGCAAAGATTCACCGAATTTTTTTTTTTAAGAAAATAATTCATTTGATGTGACAGAAATGGGAGCTTTCATATTTGAAACCCTAGAGAGATAAATTGAGTTTTCTAAGAAAATACAAAACCAAGCATGTTAAAAAAAAGTTTACATACATAAGAGTTCTTTAGGTTTTACAGAAAGTAGCCCTGTTTACTAATTAGTGTGCAAAAATATTGACATCCTTGGACCTCACTTGGGGAAGACTGGCATATGTACTTTGAGTTTTTAAACAAGTAGCTTGCAATAAGTTTAAGGAAACCTAAAATGTTTTTATTATTTAAGTGAAAAACTAAGTAGCAATACAGACAGATTAGGGGTCAGGCATGATGTGCATGTCTGTAATCTCAGCTACTTGGGGGACAGAGATAGGAGGATTGTGGTTTGAGGCCAACCTGGACAAAAGAAAGACCATATTTCAAAAACAAGCTGGGTGTGGTGGAGCACATCTATAATCCCAGCTGCTCAGGAGGTGGAAATAGGAGGATCACAGTCAGAGGCCAGCCTGGTCAAAAGCTCCAGACCCTATCCGAAAAAACTAAAAGCAAAAAGGACTGAGAGCATAGTTCAAGTGGTAGAGTGCTGCTTGCCTGGCAGTCTTGAGGCCCTCAGGAAAAAAAACAAAAAAAACCCTAATAAATCCCATGACGCCATAACTGTTGGTGTCCTGGCCTTTCTTTCTCTATGTATGGCCTAAGTGTAACCGTGAAATAAGCTGGATTTTAGGTTGCTGCACTGGGCTGTAAGTTTATTTTGAATTGCATGTGCTTTATAAACCTTTCTTATCTCTAGTATGTTTATAACATATGTAGATATAATTTCAAACATTTGTTTCTAGATTAGTGAATCACTTGTGTCTCACTGGTTCCTAAATTTTCACATCACTCACTTTGGCCTTGCCTCCTCCCCTGGGCACGTGTGTGTTTTTCTGACCCAGTTAGGAGAAGTTGGAGACACTGTGCTGCTGTATCCTGCAGTGTTCGTGTCCTAAGAGCAAGGACATTGTCCCATGTGAGCACAGCAGCACGGTTATCTAAATCAGAAGCTTGACATGGATGCATTTAACTAAGCGACAGTCCATATGCAGATTTTTGCCAGTTACCTAAGGAACATCCTTTGCGGCTGTTTTTTTTTTTTTTCTCTTCACTCCAGTAGCTACACCACCCCACACATTGCATGTAGTCGTCACGTTTCTTCATCTGAGTATGAACTAGCTCGTCAGTCTTTTTGTGTTCACATTGTTGATAGTCTGAGGGGCTCCAAATGTCACTTGTGGAGTCTAGTTTATTTGTCTGTGTTCACATTTGGTTCCTTGTGACTTCTCAGGTCCAGCAGGGACCCTGGCAGGGACACCACCATGCCAAGTGTCATTGTGTCCTTAGTTCATCCTGGCAGGGATCTTTCTGATCTTGCTGCCTTCTAGGCTTGGTTAAGGCTGCGGCTGTGAGGTTTCCCTGCGTCAGCCTACCTGCTTGCCTCTGTGATTAATAACTTACTTGAAGATATTTTGAGACTGTAAAAATATTTTGAGACTATTCTGTATCAGATAAATTGCATACAAGTTCAATGAAAAGGATAATACAAGTGGAATTTGGTGGTGAAGGTGAAGTGATTTATTGCTTATGTTCAGAACATCCTGCTTCTCCCCCAAAAAACACACTTGCAAATATAAGCAAAGGTGTACAAAAAAGTACATTTGGAAGTCAAAAACCAGTGGTTGGAGGCTATGTAGGAGGGCATGTATTCCAGAAGCCCTGATAACAAACATTCCAGAATCTGAAATGGAATCTGAAATTCCCTTTGGATCTGAA